GGTGCCCGTTTCTCCACATCCTTGCCAGCATCTCGAGTTCTCTGATTTGCTCATGTTAGCCACTCTGACTGGCGTGAGGTGGTATCTCAGTGTGGTTTTGATTTGTATTTCCCTGATGAGGAGGGATGCTGAGCATTGTTTCACGTGTCTGTTGGCCATCTGGATGTCCTCTTTGGAGAAGTGTCTGTTCATATCTTCTGCCCATTTCTTCACTGGGTTGTTTGTTTTTCGGGTGTGGGGTTTGGTGAGTTCCTTATAGATTTTAGATATTAACCCTTTATCTGATATGTCATTTACAACCATCTTTTCCCATTCCGTTGGTTGCCTATTAGTTTTGTGGGTTGTTTGCTTTGCTGTGCAGAAGCTTTTAATCTTGATGAGGTCCCAATAGTTCATTTTTGCTCTTGATTCCCTTGCCTCTGGGGATGTGTCAAGTAAGAAATTGCTGCAATTGACATCAAGGAGGTTGTTTCCTGCTTTATCCTCTAGGGCTTTGATGGTCTCCTGTCTCACATTCAGGTCCTTTTTCCATTTTGAGTTTATTTTTGTGTATAGTGTCAGAAAATGATCTAGTTTCATTCTTCTGCATGTTGCTGTCCAGTTCTCCCAGCACCATCTGTTAAAAAGGCTGAGAAAGACTTATTTATAATGCCTCTTATTTATTTCTATTTTTTTAAGTTGATTTATTTTGAGAGGGGGGAGGGGGGCAGAGAGAGGGGGAGAGAGAGTATCCCAAGCAGTCTCTGTGCTGTCAGCATGGAACATGGTGTGGAGCTTGAACCCACAAACTGTGAGATCATGACCAGATTTGAAATCAAGAGCTGGACACTTAACTGACTGAGCCATCCAGGTACCCCAAGTTACATGCCTTTTAGACTATCCAAAGTTAAAAAGATTTCAAATGTTGGTGAGGATGTGGAAGGACAGGCACTCAAATCATACACTGTTGGCAGGAATGTAATATGGTACCACTTTGAAAAAGAGCTTGACACTTACTCAAAAATCTAAATGTACATCTACTAAATGACCCAACCATCCTACTCATAAATATTTAACAAATACAACCGAAAATCAGCAGGTTTGAATAACCCAATGAGTGGAGGGAGTGTCAAGTTTATGGCTTGGTTTCCTCCACAAGAAAGTGTTATTCAGATGTCTAATGAAGATATAATGTTGTCATCACTATCTATCTATGTGAGTTTTCCTGTTGCTCTCTAGATAGCCATGTGTAGCCTCTAGGTTGGAATATCATTTCATGTCTTTCTCAAGTCATATTTTTTGAAGAGCATCCTTCACTCATTCAACATTTATTAAATACCTATTCTTATTCTTATTAGTACATTTTTTACCTCCTTGCTTACATAAAGACCTTAAATAAAACTGTAAACAAGTAATTCTTATTAACTTGATGACATTTATTTTTTTAATTTTTAATTTTTTAACTTTTATTTATTTTGAGAGAAAGACAATGTGAATTGACAAGGGGCAGAGAGAGGGGGAGACAGAAAATCCCAAGCAGGCTCTGCACTGTCCGCACAGACCCCAATATGGAGCTCAAAGCCGCGAAACCATGAGATCACGACCTGAGCCAAGATCAAGAGTCAGATGCCTAACCAACTGAGCCACCCAGGCACCCCTAACTTGGTCACTTTTAAATTCTCTTTTGAGAGGCACCTGGGTGGCTCAGTAAGTTAAGCATCTGACTTCGGCTTAGGTCATGATCTCGGGGTTTGTGGTTCAAGCTCCGTGTCAGGCTCTGGGCTGACAGCTAGGTCAGAGCCTGGAGCCTGTCTTCAGATTCTGTATATCCCTTCCTCTCTGACCCACCCCTGCTCATGCTGTCTCTATTTCTCTCTCAAAAATAAAACATTACAAAATAATAATAAGAAGAAAAAAATTCTCTTTTGATGTATCATTATTTTACATCTTTATGAAGTATCTATTATTCCTGACCATCTAAAATTCCTTAAAAGCTCAACCACATTGGGAATATTTATTCCCCTGGCCTGGCTTAGCTCTTCCATTTTGACCTCTAGTTCATATTTCTAGTAAATTAAAAAAAAATGAATTAAACGCATTTTCATCTTGGGTCTTCAAGGGGGCAAAATTTTGACAAATCAGGCATCTGATACTTCGAACATAGAAACAAACTTAGTGCTTGTTTCCTTTGTGCTGTCTCTGCTCTGGACATGCGCAGCAGCTGAGTTTACAGATCAGCAGATGTGATATGAGAAACACATTGGGTCAAGCCTCTATCATGAGATCAGGGAAAATAAGTTTTCTCTCCAGTAAAAACAGAGCAATTTTTTTTTTCAAATCTCACAGCTTCCAGCAAGCCCTGGTGTTTCCTTTTGGTCTGTGAAACACTTCAGCCTCACACTCTCCTGCTGTTGTGACAGTCTGTCTCCACCTCGGCAGCACAAAGACTGAAGGAAAAAGGGACTCTTTTCTTGCACTGGGGAGATATACATGATTTCACAGTAAGAGGAGGTATCTGATCTTTGTACTCCCTTTGTTTCCTCTCTCCAAGTTTTACAGCCTTCTTTATCTGTAAATAAAAAAAGGTTGTACATACATTTTCAAAATGTGCTGCATAATACAACTTCATACATTTAGGAAGCTGACAGCTGCCCTCTGAGGTATAGCCTGACAGCCTAAAACCCAGAAATCAATCACTTGGATACAGCGGTGCCATGCTATTGCTCCCGGTATGTATTGCAGCACCCAGGAACCACTTATTTGAGATATGCCATCGAAACTCTGATAGATTAAAGCACCACATCCTAGAAACAATTGTGTGTGGTGGGGGAAATGCTTTCACAGATCTGCCGGGTACCAGCCCAGAATCCAGCAGGCAACCGGGCAGGGCTGTGCTGAATCAGAGCTTCTAGAAACCCGGGAAGCAGCAGGATGACAGTTCTGTTCTTCAGCAGCCCATTATGAACTAATTAGCATACATGAATTGCAGATTTGAAGCATTAAAGTGATGTACAAATCATTAATTTTTTGTCAAATCCATGTCATCCCTGTGTATGCCTTCCTATTTTAATGTTGCATGACAGTGAAAAGAGGTACAATCCTCTGTATATAAAGAGGAGAGATTTGGTGTAGCTGATGTAATGAGATCTATTTAAACACTATGTATTTTTCAGCTTTGAATATATCTGCTTGGAAAAATGCTACACTTGTCCTATTAGGGTTAATTGTGAAGGGATGTTAATGTATTCAAAACCCCAGGGGTAGTTCTACATGTTGTCTGAATGAAACAGGGGATGTAAGACCAACTTCACATTTGAGCTTTCTTTTTAAAAGTCCTCTTTTTGATGAATAAAAAGAGCCATAAAATCTTTCTCACTGATTATGGAAGGTGTAACTATTTAGAACGAAAGCTGAGCTTTTCGGCATGTGAGAGCTCCCATGCAGCAGATATGTTCTCGTTAACTCAGTGCCAAACTTAATTTATAAAGATGTATAATGTAATCCAATAGAAAAGGGAAAATAACAGCAAAGCTGGGTTTCATACTGGAAAAGGCTTCTAAGCATTAATTTGTGGTTTTCCGTATTGCTTCTGTGTATTTAATTACTAAAGATATTTGTGCTTAAACAAATACTCGGTGTTTCATTTGAATTTCTCTTTTCTTATTACAGTGGAGTCACAATGCTTAATTTGTTAGTACTGTGATAGTTGCCATGGTAACAGACTCTAATGTTATATATAAATATGTATGTGGTATATATGTGTGTGTGTTATAAATATGTACTATCGATGCTTATGACTTTATTCCAAGAGCACATCTCAGAAGACTTAGCTCTTAAGAAACACTCTAATTGAAAATGTAGATATACATTTTGAACCTAAAGATATATGGTCACAGATGTGGGTCTCCATTTTCACATGGGGAAGAAAGGAGGTTCTGAGGAAGGGAGAAATGCTTTCATGCTCTCTTCTTGTAGGTTTTTCTCTGCCTGCCCACAGAATTCTCCATGCCGTGGGTCATACTCTATGGGCCTTCTCCTTCTCCCCACTCCCTTTTCCACCCACTTCTTTTAACCATACAAAATATAGATAAAATGAAAACCAAGGCCAAACTCTAGGGGGAGATGTTTTTTGTCTGATGAACCTTCTATCAAGAAGACTAGGGATGCATTGAGAATGGAGGAGGAGAGGGTGAGATGATTTGGTCCATTCATATTAGTGAGAGCAGGGAATTCATAATAAAGACAACTATACACATATATGCTACTTGAATTAGGAATTTCACACACCTCTCAGTAAATATGGTAGATAGTAGACTCTTCATTGTAGAGCTGAGGAAGCTGCAGCTTACAGTGAGCGAGTAAAAATTATCATGAAGATTAGATTGCTAAAGCCTCTGTTCTTTGGACAATGTCACATTATTACTCTGAGGCCTTCTATAGTGCAAAGTACTAGAGCCATAAACCCACTCCTTCCAGACTAATTAGCATCCCCCATGCAGTCAGATCCAGGGCAATGACAATGATATGCTTTATGCTGGAGATGACTTTAGTAGTAAACCAAAAATAAACCCAATGGAAAGGGAGAATAGCATGGCCATCTCTATAAGTAGGTATTATTTTCAGCTCCATGCAACAACAATACAACGCAGCAGCTTAGCTAAATAGTTTATTTTTCATAAATCACTACAAATCCAGAAATGAGGTTGGTATGAAGGCACCATAATGTTATCAGGGACTTAGCATTTAAGCATTTGTTTATCTCTCTCCTGTGCCATTGTTAGTATGAAACCGTTATCTTCATGCTCATAAGATGGCTGCTGCCCCACTTGACATTTGACATCACAACTGTATTCCAGGCTGAAGGAATAGGAATGAACAAAGGACAAATAATGAGTGCGCTGAACTCTCTCTCTGTCTCTCTCTCTCATCTCTTTTTGTGGAAAAATCACAACTTCAATATTGGATGCCACATGTTTTGCTTTGACTCATATAGTTTTCTTGGGATTAACCAATGAGTATCCAATGACCTCTGGGAAGTGTGGAAAATATGGAATGCTTGTGCAAGGGCCATGCTAATCTCCTCTGTATCATTTCATTTCTAGTATACATGCTGCCAAAGCAAGCACAAGCTTGTCTCTTTCAGTGATAAACATAAATTTTCAGGAAGCCCTAACCAAAACATTGTACTTACACTGGCCAGCCTTGTGCCATATGGCCACCCAATAGAGGCAGAGAAGTCTGTGGAAGTGAATCATTTTAATCAAGCCTAATGTTGCCCCTACTAAAATGGGGGGTTTTGTTAGTAATGAATGGAGAATGGTTATTGGATAGACAACTAGCAATGGTCATCTTCTGTGATATTTCCTTGTGACTTCATCAAGAATACACACCGATATAGTACACACTTTGTATCAGGGGAAAATATTAAGTACATATTCTGACACACAGCTGAAAACCAGCTTGTACCTCACTCATTTTCTTGTTATTTTTTGAATCTTCAGCTTCCATTTTCAGGAATTCTCTATTTAATCCTTCTAAGTGGAGTACTTATTAGCTGCCTTATTGGTATTTAACCATTGGATTGTATTTTGGTGTTTACCCTAGTATGATGGTGGCAGAATTCACCATTTGAGCAGCTGAGTTTTGCAGAATCTGTGTAGTAGAGCAGTCAAGAGCTAAGGATTCATACAGAACTGAGTTACATTCAAGCTTCACTTCCTATAATCTATGTGACTCTATGTAAGTCTCTTAACTTCTTTAAGCCTTGGTTTCCTCATTTGATAAGTGAGCACAATAAAAACACCTTCTTCAGGGGTGCCTGGGTGGCTCAGTTCATTAAGTGTCCAACATTGGTTGGACTTGATTTCATGGTTTGTGGGTTTGAGCCCCACATCAGGTTCTGTGCTGACAGCTCAGAGCCTGGAGGCTGCTTCAAATTCTGTCTCCCTCTCTCTCTGACCCTTCCCTGCTCATGCTTTGTGTCTCCTCTCTCTCAAAAATAAATACACATTTAAAAACTTTTTTTAAAAAAAACACCTTCTTCAGAGGGATTCTATGAGGAAGAAACAAGTCAATACACATAAAACACCTAGTGGAATATCTGACCCGTGGGAAGTATTTGACCAATCTTAACCTTAATATTTGACCAATATTACTATTGCTATAAATCAAGTTGTCCTGGATTCAAATCATGCATCTTCCATTTTCTTTGGCAGGTTACAAAAAGCCTTTGATTCTTAGTTTCATCGTGTGGAAAATGGTTACTGGGTAATGTTAGAGATGGTAAGTATGTAAATTATCTATTAAACTGCTAAATAGTAGAGATGCTATATGCTATTAGTTGCCTGTCAATATCCAGTCCCCATTCCCTTCTTCCTTCCTGTTGGGATTTCACTTTGTTCAGGATGGTGATATGTCCTGTTAAAATTGTTCCCTTTCCTAACTCCCTTGCAGCTAGAGGATGACAAAGTTCTGGCCTATGTAATATAAATGAATTTCCCTGGAGAGAGCTTTCTTTTTTGAATAAAAAGGCAAAACCTTGTTTTGTAAAAGCTCTTTGTTCTCTCTCCTCCATCATTGCATGCCTGGAGGTGATGTAGCCATATTGAAAATGTGGAGAACAGAACCACAAACTAATGAGGTCAGAGGAGGAAGATAGACTTTGGGTCATTTGTTGTATCACTAAGGCCTTACACCAGCTTTAGATTGCCCAACTCCAGGTGTGTTATACAAGGAGAAAAAAACTTAGTGCTGTAAGACAATATTTCTTGAGTTTTATTTATGTGCAGTCAATCAAATGGGGACACAGGTTATTGCCATGTGGAAATCATGTTAACAATCATTACCACCACCACAACCATCATTATCATCATTACCTATATAAATGACATGGCCCCAGGATATTTAATCTGTGGTCTGTTTTTATGAGCAGAGCAAAAGGTTTGACCATGGCCCTATGGAAGAAACTTAGTCTACAGGAAGTATTGATCAAGACTCCAGGGAACTGGAGACCTTGGAGGGAACTGGAGAAATCTGTTTTGTTTTGTTTTTTTTGAGAGGTTGACAATGATTTTTATCAGCACAAATGTGTCTATTGTTTATATAAATCTGCCATTAACCAACTAAACTAATCATAAATACAATAATTATCTTTTTACGTAGGTCCATTTTATATTCATGTTTCATTCACAAGTTAGAAAAACAAACCTTCACATAAGAACTGACAAATCAAAGGAACTGAGATGCTCCTTACTGGCCGGTATCCATTTTTGGCACTTGTCACAGAAGTGGGACAGCTGCTCCTCCATCCAGCACACGTCTCCTTCATCACTGTTGAGGGAATCCCCACTCTGATCATGAGATAAGTGTGCTGATGCCTGGTCCTCCAATTCAAGGATCAGGACAGTCTCCCTCTCCCCCTCCCCCTCCTCCAGCACTTCTGAGGTAGATGTTCTCGTGGCTTCATCATCGTGCTGGCTTATCAAACTACTCAGGTGGATGTTACTATCCATCCTTTCCTCTCACAGGCTCTCATGTGCTTTTCATGAACAATCCTAAGCTCTGGACACCAGGCTTCAAGGGGCTTCTACCAGGATCACACAGACAGAGCTCTTCAGAAGAGTGTCTGCCTACTTCTTTACTGAGATAGAAGAAACTTTTAAAGCAATAATTTAGAATATATCCTCCACTGTCTTTGTCTCTGGCCAAGTCTGAAAGGACAGTGACCAACAAAAATAAAGGTTGAACACCTCACAAAGCTATTCTCCATCCATATGCACACACCCACACTCGACACTGTCCCCTCAATGTTTGACACCCATTTCAAGTCATGTTTTTTTAGGACCTTTTGTCAATAACATCCCTCTTTCTGCTTCAAGTTGCTAAGTCAAAATAACCTGTTCTCCCAAGAGACAAATGTTTTCATTTTTCCAATTCTGCCTCTCAGTGTCTCTGATCACTCCATCGTGAAGTCTCTGCTGTACCTGCTGCTGCTTCAGATGCACACCAGTCACCGTGGCTGCTGTCAGCACCACCAACAGGCCCAGCATCACCTTCGAGTTCCTAGACATCCCTGCACCAGCCACCGTGGCCTCCCACTACCTTCCCGGGGCCTCAGGGATGCAGTCAAATGTGACTCGGAGGCTGCTAGAACTGGAGAAATCCTAACTGCTTCTGGGACTTGGGGCAAGGACCAGGCAATTGTCAGATCAAACCATAGAGTCCTGAAGGGACTGCTAACCCAGGAGAGCTCTGTGCATGTGCTGAATCCCACCGAATCTCTCTGAGTCTATAGTCTGGAGATTTAGGAGTTTATTACCCACTAATTGCCTACAGGCTCCTGGGTGACATTACAAATATCTGAGATGGAAATAACGAGAAATCAATGCTGGGTGAAGGGTAATATTGCAAAAGTTATTTTCTGAATAATGGTAACCACCAATAATTAGAGATGAATGAGGAGTAACTACCTTCCACACAATGTCTTCACCAGTTATATTGAAAGTAAATCTCTGACCAAATTTGGTGACAAATAAAGATGCATTTATTAAGCAGGCACGAAACAGCTTGTATAACATATTAGTTAGTTGCTTGATATAGTAGCTATTGTGCCACAAGTGGACTGAGGACTGAGTCAATGGCTAGGCAAATTTTTGCTAGAAAGCACCTCTATAGGCTAGTTAGAAGACTAGTTGATTAGAAAACTGGTTGATGACCCTTACGGAGTGAATTTTTGGTTAGGGCAAATGACCACCCTTACAGTGTAGTTTAATCTAACTGTTATATCTGATATATATATATATATAGATATAGATATATATACTGATATATAGATATAGATATAGATATAGATATTTCCTATAAAGTATAGTAGGGAGTTTGGGGGTGCCTGGGTGGCTCAGTCGGTTAAGCGTCTGATTTTGGCTCAGGTCATGATCTCACAGTTCGTGGGTTCGAGCCCTGCGTCAGGCTCTGTGCTGACAGCTAGCTCAGAACCTAGAGCCTGTTTCAGATTCTGTGTGTGTGTCTCTCTCTGACCCTCCCTTGCTCACGCTGTCTCTCTCTCTCTCAGAAATAAATAAAAATTAAAAACATTTTTAAAAAGTATAATAGGGAGTTTAAATTACAGATCCCCTATTAAGCAGCCCATGTAATTAATAAAGAGCAAAATTAGAACTAGATCTTATGTCCTCTGAATCCCAACTTTGAAAGTTTTACCACTTCAGTATCCCAACCTGGCAACAATCCTACAAACAGTCCAAACTCATTGCCTTAAGAGGTAATGTTCTCAGGGGCACCTGGCTAGCTTAGTTGGTTAAGTGTCCATCTCTTGATTTCAGCTCAGATCATGATCTCACAGTCATGAGATGGAGTCCTGTAACTGACTCTGCACTGAGTGTGGAGCCTGTGTGGGACTCTCTCTTTCCCTCTCTCTTTGCCCCTCCCCCACTCATTCTCTCTCTCTCTCTCCCCTCCCCCCACCCCCATCAAAATGAATAAATAAACATTTAAAAAAGGAGATAACCTTCTGTAAATCAGCCTATTAATATTAAAAGGTTTCCCACTTAAAGTGAAAATAACAAGTTTAGTTGCTGATATTAATCCTGGAGCAACATGTAAGGATATGGCAGGATTAAGAAACAGAGCATCACATTATGAAAGTTTGGATTTATAATAGTCAAGTGTAAAATAATAAATAGCTGGTTATTAGACAATTAAGAGAAAACATGATAAATATTGAATGAGAACTTGAAAGCAAACCTCGTTTGCTATAATCTCTCCTCTATTTTGACCCTGCCATGTTTATATTTTGCACAGCCTACTCTGATTTATAGCCATTTATGTTCATCTTTTTGATAGCTCTTTTGTTATTAGTAAGTATCTACTTCATGACTTCGAATCTGTTTTTATATAGGGAAATTATTTATGGAAAAACAAAGAGTTTGCACATGAGATCACTGGTTTGTAGTGATATTTCTTATATTTTCAAAGAAGCTAGGAAAGATTCTGCTACGGAAATTCAGTGGTCATCTGAAGAAATAAAGAGGGTCTACACGTAATGATTCCTGTGCTTCTTCAGTAGGCTTGGCTCACTGCTCCACTCACACAGAATTCCTACACTTGCTTT